AACCCGAAACCCCTTAACCCCTAAACCCCTAAACCCCTAAACCCTAAACCCCTAAACCCTAAACCCTAAACCCCTAAACCCCTTAACCCCCAAACCCCTTAACCCCTAAACCCCTAAACCCTAAAACCCTGACTATGAAGGCCCCTGCATTAAGCATTCGCTGTCCTCAGATTGGGAGCTGTGTCGGGGTTCGGCAACGAGTACTACCGACAGAAGGACCGATTGGGGTTCAGGGTTTTGGGGTTTTGGGGTTTAGGGGTTTCAGGGTTTTGGGGTTTAGGGCTTTAGGGTTTAGGGGTTTAGGGTTGTAGGGTTTAGGGTTTAGGGGTTTAGGGGTTTTAGGGTTTTTAGACTTCCGTGTCAGGAGGAACTCCAGGAACACGCCGTCAAGTTTACCAGATGAGGGTCCAGATGTTAGTTTATCGGCTCCCAAGCCTCCGCCCTTCCGCGACCTCGACGGCTCCAGCTAGAACGAAGGCCACGAAACTTGCAGTGGGAGAGTGGAGGGCTCCGCCCTAACACAAACACAGGCATTGCCGCCGCGCCGCATTAGTGTATTAGGTTAAGAGAGAGGCCATATATAAAATGGTGCAGAATTCATGAAACAAGGATGTAGTTCCGCAGGTACTCTTCAAGCTGTGGGACCGTCTGCCACCCTACCCACATCCAAAGATAGAGCCAACACCCAGTCAACTGTGGCACCCGCAGGACGACTATGCAGGGTACCAGGCCCCAGGGCGATTCCGTTGAGGGTAGCGGGAGTCCTGAGTGACCTGCAAACAGATTCTGTAAGGAGGGGCAGACTCCCCAACATAACTTTAATCAGGAATCCTAATGAAGCCCGAACCCTTCAAAGCTTAAGCCTGGATTTGAGGAAGATGTCTTAAACTAAGGGGTTTTGAAGCCTCTGGGAAGCTCCTGACAGTTGGGGTTTCTTTCAGGGTTTAGGGTTCGAGATTTCAGGGTTTTAGGGTTTACGGTTTAGGGGTTTTTGATTTAGGGTCTTTAGGAGCTTAGGGGTTTAGGGGTTTAGCGTCTTTGGGATTTCGGGGATGGAGGGTTCCAGAGCTTTGGGTGTGGGATCGGCTCCGAGGCTTTAGAGTTTTCGAGGTTGCGGCCTTCTTTAGGACTAGGGTTTAGGGTTTAATTAGGGTTTAGGGTTTTGGGGTTTAGGGTTTAGGGTTTAGGGTTTAGGGTTTACTTAGGACATGGACTTTGCCGGGCCATGAGTAGAGGACCTCGGCAGTTTCGGAGACTGGGTTTGGAGTCGTTCCAGTGGCTAGTTGCGTGGAAGAGCTGTCTGAGTCGGAACCTTGTTATCTTGGTCGTGGTGACCGCATGAACTCTGCGGAATGACAGTTTAAACGGGGAATTCCAAGATCTGTAAATCCCTGAGTCCCGCAAATCCTGAGCCCCTACATCCCAAAAGTCCTAACTCCCTAAAGCCCTGAATCCCGAAAGACTTAATTCCCAACAGCCCTAAAAGCCTAAACTTGAACCTTAAGCCTATTGCATGGCAGGGGCTTGCACAGACGGAGTTCGACGAAGACATATAGCGACGCCAGTGCGAAGCCCAGAGCCTCTTGCTGTTTATATTCACAAGAGTTTACATGGTTGCACAAGGGCTTTAAAAAGGTGCTTATAATGGCGTTGATACAGGTTTTGTGAGTGGTCTAGGTTTCGGAGTTTGGAGTTTAGGGACGGCCACGTGCTGCCGACTGTACATCTGCGAAATGCGAACAAGTTTTGCAGGTACGATTTAGAAGAGGGGTTTAAAGCAAGCAGCTGTTTTTTGCTAGGCTGCTAGTGCTTGTGGCCATGCTAATCGAGGTCCAAGTTTATCGGATCATCCCCGAAAGGATTTCGGGATTCGGATCCTGGGTTTGGAGTTCGAAGGCTTCGGCCTTCGATGATTTATATGTATATATATATATGTATAGAACACATACATACATACATACATACATACATACATACATACATACACACATACATACATACATACATACATACATACATACATACATACATACATACAACATGCATATTTGTATAAACACACGCACACACACACACATTTTCACGCAAGAGTTGCCAGTTGTGAACAAAAGAAGCGCAGTTTCAGGATCCGCACGCTGCGCTGTGCGATGGCCGTTAGTGAACCGCGTATAGCTCGAGGCAGGAGTACACAGCCGCAGCGGTGATGGGTGACTTGTAGTGGCTTTTGGGGATAATCCCTTATACTGTCAACTAATCAAGTCGTAGCCATAAAATCCTGCAGTTGACACTCTGTACACTGAATCCTGCACGCTCAACCCTAAACCTCAAAGCACCTGCGCACCTCGGGCTTTGGAGCGCAAGCGACGAAAAAGGCCCTTTAAGCAAAAAGCACCTCAACCCCAGTAAAGGATCTGCTGTGCACTCCGTGTCTGGGCACCGGGGCCTTTCTTTGGGCTTTCGCGTCAGCGACTGAAGGTGAAGTGCAGTCGTTGCCCAGGCTGCGAGATTCAGTCGATGCATCCTTGTGGGGTCGACATATTTTGGGTTTGGCTGGGGTGCTGGGTACAGGGCAGCCCGAACCTTGCTATAAAAACAAACCACCCGCATACCATCATTCATGTAATGGAGCCCTAGGGCCCTAGGGGACGAAATTTGAGGTTCAGAGTTTGGGCTTCAGGGGTTTATAGCGATCCAAGAGCTTAGAGATCATAGGTCGTACTGTGCGAGGCTTGGGCTTAGGAATTTGTGTCCAACAGTTACATGCTATCCTTATGATGTATATATATATACACACACACACACACACATATATATATATATATATATATATATATGTACATACACACATTACACACCGCACAGTACACACATACATATGTATATATATATATATATACATATGTATGTATGTATGTATGTATGTATGTATGTATGTATGTATGTGTGTAGGTAGGTAGGTAGGTAGGTAGGTAGGTAGGTAGGTAGGTAGGTAGGTAGGTAGGTAGGTAGGCAGGTATGTATGTATGTATGTATGTATGTATGTATGTATGTATGTATGTATTCACACATACATACATACATACATACATACATACATACATACATACATACATACATATGTGTATATATGTCTGTGTGTGTATATATATATATATATATATCTAACAACGAAACAAGGAGTAACCACGTCTGCATGGCAAGCCGTTTGAGGGGTCTGGATATTTAGTAACAACATGTCCTTATAATTCCTACATAGCTGCATCCTTGTACGAACTGATATTAAAGGGTGTTTCGAGATCTGTGTGGAAAGCTGCAGCCTTGTGCATGGCTGCATGGGCCTTGCATTCCGCATCAGAAAGGGCGAGACAAAAAGTAATCTGTTTGCACCGCGTATGATCTTGTCTTCGAGGGTGCGGTGGAAAGCGAGAAAGCATGAGCAGGTAGTGTTCCGAATGAGGAGAGTGCACTCAGATGTTGTTGCAAGATCAAGAGCACAGCGTAGCAAGTCCGATGGGTAGAGCAAGTCTTCTCTAGAGAATGTGCTGCTCCAGAGCATGACCTCGGCAGCAACCTTCGTTCGACATGCCTTCAAACCCCTCCAACAATTTTTCTTCAAGCCTTGCCAGCAGGTTTTATTTGGTGAAGTTATGCAGACTGAAGGAAGGCTTTGTTGCGGGATCCTTTACTGGGATGACCAGCCCTGTGCCCGAACTCCCCGGGATATGGGGATTGCTTGTGTCTCACGCAGCCGTGGGCAGGTCTCAGAAGGGGGCAGTTCGGAGTTTCTTTTGCTTCCGCGGGCCTGGCCCTGTAATTCAGGGGAGAGCCCTTGCTGCGAATGCAGCCGCTGTGGCTGTTCCTTTTGCCGTGCCTCTGCCATGCAGCGGACCTGGACCTGCTCCCGGACTGGGATCATGCTCCGTTCTTGCATGGCGTGGCATCTGCTGATCCTCTCAGTGACCGAGTTCTTATATGGACCCGTGTCAGCACTGGCTCAGACACAGAAGTTGTCTGGCGCCTCTGGCGTGAGGGGGAGCAGTCCTTTGACAGTCCTTTCAGGCAGGGGATCGAGATGGCCTCAGCTGGCTCGGACTTTGCCATCACTGTGGACGTCTCAGGCTTAGACCCGAGCTCGGAGTACCTGTATCAGTTCTCTGTCGCTGGAAACCGCTCCATGCTGGGTCGGACGCGAACTGCAAGCAGCGGATCCGAAGTGAACCTGGCCATCGTCTCCTGCACCAGCCTCTGGAGTGGATATTTCAACTTCTACCGGCAACTTGCTTTCGAGGAGGTGGACGCCGTGGTGCATCTGGGCGATCTGGTCTACGAGAGGCATCCCTCCTCACCCTGGGCAACAGGGAGCACCAAGCCCTTCACTGCCCTTCACTAAACTGAGTATGCAGACTGATGCATGAAGGATCAAGGCACTTAGTACTAACGCCTAGTGGCACGGTTGCTATGGGTTTTTAACCAGGCATGACGGTATAACCCGAAAGTAGGTCCTTACAGCCTTTCTTTCTAAGTCCTCTGAGATCTTTATGTCCCAATCGGACCCCAGGCCGACCCCGCAGCAGCGCCAGTACTCGCATTGTAAGACGGAGATAGTACTGATATTAAGGCCGTGCTAGTACTACGGCCACCACCAACTGTCACACTATTCCTGTTTCTCCTGTTGATGTGCCTCCAAAGCCCTGGAGACCTCAATCCCGCAACCCTCCAAACCCTACGGGCAGTCCCTTCTGCAATATTAGGACGTTGAAACCCGTATGACTTTACTTCACCAAAACCCTCAAACGGTTATCAAAGTGTAAACCAAACAATAAACCAAGTAAGCCTGAAAAATCCTATAAACCCTAAAAGCGCTAGAAGCCCTGAGCGCAGTGCAAGCCCTTAATACCCAGCAGGACCGAAGCCCCGAACCCTAAACCCTAAACCCTAAACCCCAAAACCCGAACCCTGGCAGGCCCGACCCGGACGAGTTGCTGCGGGTGCCGGACGTCCGCTGCGACGCAGTCGCCGGATCCCGCCAGAACGAGACCGACCTGGCGACCTGGTCGCGATGTTTTACTAGGTTCCCCAGTAGTACCCTTTTGCCCTAAGAAAAAGGGTACCCTTATTATTTAGGGGCTACTGGGGAACCTAGTTTAAGGCTTGTTTAATATGCTTCAAGGGTTTTTGGAGGGTTTTGTGGAGTTTTTCTCGAGGCTTTCACAGGGCGAGATCAAGTAGACATGGTCAAGCTTGAACGTCCAGGACTTCAGTGTGGAAGGCTCCGGGAACAAGGGTTGTGTGCACTGCTACAAGCCCCCAACTCGTTTCAGAAATGCCGAGGTGATGGATGGCTTGCGAGATGCCCTCTGCCACCCGTCCGACTTGGTGAGGTATCGTGCCCTGCAGTCGGTGCACATGTTCGATCCCGACTTCCGACTGGCTCGATCCAGACATCCCTTCATCGTGATCTACGACAACCATGACGTGAACTGGAAAGATGCAAACAGCTCGCTGCGTGCCTTCCGAGAGTGGGTGCCCATGAGGGGACGTGATGAGGACCATGCCCTCGAAGGGGGTTTTCGGCATTTTCGCTTCGGGGAGGACGTGGTGGATGTGTATATGCTCGATACAGCCATGGCAAGCACAGGGAGCCTCCTCGGCCTGGAGCAGGAGGAATGGCTGAAGACGAAGCTTCTTGGTAGTGGAACAAACAAACATCAATTTTTGTTTTTTTGTGCAACCTACTTTCGAACTCACTTCAAAAAGGTCTAGGTGCACTTATGGCCCAGGATCTATGGATAGCTGAGGCTTCAAGATTCATCCGGCACCTGGAGGCTTTTTGCATCGCCAAAGACCTTCATGCCGCTGGCCCTGAACAAGACAGGGGCCTCCCTCGCTGTGCCGGTGGCGTGTGTCGCGCTGCTTCTGCTGTTACAGCTCGCCTGCTGCAGGTTTCTCCCCAGACCTGCTTGTGTGAGCAAGGCTGAAAATTCGGATCGCGGAGACGTGCGGTTAGGTGGCAGTTAGGGAGATTTTTTGTCGCAACTTCCTTTATGGCCTAGCAGCGGTTGAGGTATCTGTTCATAAATCTGGTTAGAGGTTCTTGAACTACAACCTAGGCAACTCACGGGCCTTTGTGCCAAGAGGCATGAGGTCACCCGGAGGATTCTCCGCTGTTGCTCGCTGGGTGCCTGCTGTGCCTTGGGGCTTCTGAGCTCTTGTTAAGGAACTTAGTGACTTAGTAAGTCATTGGTTATAGTCGGCTTTGTACGGGTCTTTCAGCGCGTGAAGGCCTTTGCGGATTTCCATGGAAGGTCCCACGATAGGTCAGCTGTGGTGAGTACGGCGTTTTCCTTATCACGATAGCCTGAATCACGATCCTTACACCTCTGCACCCTAAGCTCAAAATCCTAAACTTCTTCACCCACAGCCAACACCCTAAACCCACTCCCAAAACCCACGCTTGACCTGAAAGCCCAAACCTTGAGAGCCCAACACCATGATCCTTGGAAGAACCCACCCAGGCTCTGCAGCCTTTTGGGCACCGCGGCCTGCGCATTCCTAGCTTTTAAGTTCGACAAGTCGCATCTGGGTAGTTCTTGAATATTCCTTCGTTTTTTATTTAGAGTCTTGGGTTTGGGGTTGAGGCTTTTAGGTTTTTTGCAGTATGGTAGAATGAAATCGTAACATGTAGCTTCGATTTGGTATAGCAGATTCGAGCTGCAATGTTAGTCTAAGCGAGTTGTTCTAAGCTTGAAATGGCTTCCAAGAGCAGCCCAGGCATGGTCTAACCCCGCTCCATGCACCGAAGACGACTTGGGAGGGACAGCCCGGATCAAGGAACTTACTCTTCGATCAGCTGCAGCAAAGTGGCCACTGGGCTCGTGTCTTCAGGAATTCAATGATAAGTTATTCGGGGTCTGAGGGGGCTCAATGGGTTTTTTCTACGGTTTCTGCGGAACGTACAAGTTAAGTGGCCCTACCCGGGATATTTAGTACATGCCACAGTTTAATTCTTGCCGCAGCTTGTATGATTTGAAGCTCCTGAACACTGCCAAGGCAAGGCTTCCAACAACATCTGGGCCGTGGGGGATATGCATTTCTCATACCTCGCCGACGTCTTCCGCTTCGACTATCTCGGCAAAGACTTGTTCTCCTACAGCCCTCGAGCACCAGTAGAAAGGTACGGTGTGGAGTTTATGCCAGGCTCTGGCAGTCGGGGCAACATGGACGAGAAAGCAGGCGAGTTGCTGGGTCGCTTCTTCAAGCCTCCTTCCTATTTGTCCCGCCTGGTCGGACGAGTGATCGACTATGTGCTGCTGCATGCGAATCCACAGTTCCGACATTTCGAAGGCTCTGAACACGGCTATGGGCTGTTGAAGATAGCCCAGCAGGAGGTTCAAGCAAGCTGGGCACGCTTCGATGTCCTCCGCGTCGCCAACGGGTTTACGCGGGTTTCCGGCATGCATGTGAATGCCGGGGACAACAAGTGGCTCAGCTTGTGAGTTCGAAAGATGTTGAACTTCTTGTGCCAACTTTCTGGGGTGTACATAGCCCTGCCCCGCAATCAGGCATGAAGCTCTAAACCCTAAACCCTAAACTTTGCTTAAACTGACCATCTTCTTTCGGCTTATGATGAAATCCTTGAATCTCTAAATCGAAGAAACCCCTACAACCTAAATCCCTGAAGCCCGAACCGCACACCCCAAGTCGCAAAGACTTTAAACCCCCAAGCGCCCGACACAAGCCCCTTAGAAATCCCAATAAAGCCCCATTCAACCGCCTAGAGCCTTTATTAAGAACGTTATGAAGCCCTAAACCCTAAACTTTCATCC